TTTAGACAATTGACAAGAAGGTGTCTTAACTTAAGGAAATAGATTCAATATGTGTAATGACCCAGCCACTCCCAGTCTCTATTCAAACCCAAGTTAATGGTATCTAGTTTGCATATTAATTCAAGTTCAGCAGTTTCTCCTTGGAGTCTGTTTTTGAAGCTTTTCTGTTGCACAGTTGCCTCCCTTAGATCTTTTACTGAGTGGTCAATTGAAGTGTTCTGCTACTGATTTTTGAATCATAACATTAAAAAAAAACAGTAGAAGAACACTTCAACCTCCATGGCCACTCAGTAAAAGATCTAAGGGAGGCAACTGTGCAACAGAAAAGCTTCAAAAACAGACTCCAAGGAGAAACTGCTGAACTTGAATTAATATGCAAACTAGATACCATTAACTTGGGTTTGAATAGAGACTGGGAGTGACTGGGTCATTACACATATTGAATCTATTTCCCTAAATTAAGCATCCTCACACCTTCTTGTCAACTGTCTAAATGGGCCATCTTGATTATCATTACAAAAGTTTTTTTCTCCTCTTGATAATAGATCATCTTAACTAATTAGCCTCTCAGTCTGTATGGTAACTTCTAACTTATCTGTATGTGTGTGTGTATCTTACTATATGTTCCATTCTATGCATCAAACGAAGTGAGCTGTAGTTCACGAAAGCTTATGTTCTAATAAATTGGTTAGTCTCTAAGTGCCACAAGTACTCCTGTTCTTTTTGGGGGTACAGACTAACATGGCTGCTACTCTGAAACCATTCTATTGCCAGTACCACCTATTAGACTGGTATCTAAACTACCCTTCCTCCTTATGTCCATTCTCCTACGCATGGCTGTATCCTTTCTTACTTCATTTTCTTCCCTCTCAATGTTAAAATCCGGCATGGAGATTACCTGGACATGTCCCAACCATCTCCCCCAAATTCCTAGTTGAAAGCTCTCTTAATCAGTTGTGCCAGCCTCCATCCTAGAAGTCTATTTCCCTCCCTACTCAGGTGAGGTCCATCCCGAGAGAACAGCTTTCAGAGTAACAGTCCTGTTAGTCTGTATTTGCAAAAACAAAAGGAGAGAACAGTCCTCTGTCCATTAATGCTTTCCAGTGGCCATACATCCCAAAGCCCTCCTTATAGCACCACTGCCTGAGCCATCTGTTGATCATCATAATCTTGTCACACCTTTGTTGCCCTTCTCTAGGAACAGGCAGAATCCCTCTGAAGATCACCTGAGCCTCGATTTCCTTAAGCATCTTCCCCAGCCTGCATAGTCTCCCTTGATAAGTTCCAGCGAGAATCTAGCCATATAATTTGTTCCCACATGAAGGGCAATCAGTGGATTCTTTCCTGCTCCTGTTAGGATCCTCTTCAGCCTCAGCTCCACATCCCATATCTTAGCCCCCGGCAGACAGCAAACCCTTCTGTTCTCTGGATCAGCTCTGGTTACAGGCCTTTCTATTCTTCTCAGTAAGGAGTCCCCACTCACGTAGACCTGCCTTTTCCTGGTGATGTTGCGATTCTCTGGTCTATCCCCTGTTCCCTCTGGCTGCAAATCCTCTTGATTCCTATTGTCCCTTGCAATCCTCTGCGACTCATCCCATATCCTCCTGGGGCTCATATTTGGTGGTGTTATCTCCATTGACTCTTCCCCTCAGACTAGCTGCTCTTCTCTTCTTCCTTGCCCTTCCACCTTCAGTGACCACCTGCTGTGCCCCTTCTTCATTTTCCAACTCCACAAACTTGTTCTTGAGCTCTATTTCTCCTTCACTAGCCCATCTTTTCCTCTGCCTGGTTCTCTTAGTGACATGCTTCTACGGTCCACTTTCCTCACCCAGCAGTCTCCCCTTGGAATTCTTTGGTCCTGCTTCCATCTGCAAGTCTGAACTTTTCCCTTCAGCCTCCTCATGCCTTTGTTTCATCATGCGCTCAAACCCCCTTCTAAACTCAACCAGAGTTTCCCCCTGCATCTCCAATCCTCGGATCTTTTCTTCTATCAGCTCTATCAGGCGGCACTTCATGCAGACAAAACTCTTTTCAGGTACCCCCTCCAGGACCATGTACATGCCACGGCTTCAACATCCAGTCATCTTCATTGTGTCTTCCACTGCTTGGGTTGCTACCACTGCTGCCTCTGTATTGGTCATCGCCTTCTCACCTAAGTCAAATACCTTCTCCTCTAACAGAATTCCCACTCAAACTCCCCTGTTTACAGCTCTGTTTGCTGGCTCCTGTGCCACTGCAGCTGTACTAGCTGCTGCCTGACTGGCTGGCTACCTTTATAGGACCCCTAGTCAGAGAAGCCCCGTCCCCTAACCAGGGCTCAGCTTCTCTCCCAGCACACTGCCCCTACCAGTCTCTACAAATACTTACAAATACCTTCTCCTCCAAGATGGATATGAATCAGCAGTGTGCCCTTGTTGCCAAGAAGGCTAACAGCATTTTGGGCTGTATAAGTAGGAGCATTGCCAGCAGATCGAGGGATGTGATCATTCCCCTCTATTTGGCATTGGTGAGTCCTCATCTGGAGTACTGTGTCCAGTTTTGGGCCCCACACTACAAGAAAGATGTGGAAAGATTGGAAAGAGTTCAGCAAAGGACAACAAAAATGATTAGGAGGTTGGAGCACATGATTTATGAGGAGAGGCTAAGGGAACTGGGATTATTTAGTCTGCAGAAGAGAAGAATGAGGGGGGATTTGATAGCTGCTTTCAACTACCTGAAAGGGGGTTCTAAAGAGGATGGATTTAGACTGTTCTCAGTGGTGGCAGATGACAGAACAAGAAGAATGGTCTCAAGTTGCAGCGGGGGAGGTTTAGGTTGGATATTAGGAAAAAAACTTTTTCACTAGGAGGGTGGTGAAGCACTGGAATGGGTTACCTAGGGAGGTGGTGGAATCTCCTTCCTTAGAGGTTTTTAAGGTCAGGCTTGACAAAGCCCTGGCTGGGATGATTTAGTTGGGGATTGGTCCTGCTTTGAGCAGGGGGTTGGACAAGATCAGTGGTTCTCAAACTAGGGCCACCGCTTGTTCAGGGAAGGTGGGCCAGTTTGTTTACCTGCTGCTTCCGCAGGTTCGGCTGATCACAGCTTCCACTCGCCACGGTTCACCGCTCCAGGCCAATGGGGGCTGCAGGAAGGGTGGCTAGCAGATCCCTTTGCCCGCGCAGTTTCCCGCAGCCCCCATTGGCCTGGAGTGGCGAACTGCGGCGAGTGGGAGCTGTGATTGGCCGAACCTGTGGATGCGGCAGGTAAACAGACCGGCCCGGCCCTCCAGGGGCTTTCCCTGAACAAGCGGCAGCCCTAGTTTGAGAACCACTGGACTAGATGACCTCCTGAGGTCCCTTCCAACTCTGATATTCTATGATTCTATAGGAGTGCACTAGTGACACCATAGTTAAGGCAGTGCCAAAAGTTTCCTTTCAATGGGACCATTATAACCATCTAGTACTGTTCTGACTTTAATATTTTCAGAGAAATAGTTATAAAATAGAAAAAAAGCATATAAAAATCAGAACATGCTTCAGTTTTCTAAAGTACAATAAGGCCTGGCAGAATTTTGTTTAATAGGTAATAATTTCTTTTAAATTTTTTAAATTATTTAAATGTTCGTAGTTGCACAAAATTATGGGGTTTAAGCATTTTTTATATTTATTGATGTAAATGTTCACACTTGTTGGAAACTGGAGGAGCGGGTGTCAGATAATTATTTAATGATTGACATTGATATTCAAAAAGTTAAAACTTTATAGCCATTAAAGCCACAAATTGTCAACCTCACACATGAAAATATACAAAGTAAATATCCTTAAATCAAACCGTAAAGTTCTCAAGCAGCACTTTTCTTACTTTGCCAATCTGTAAATTTCAATTATTATTGATGGAATTTATTTGGTCAGGTTGTATGTACACAGTGAAATCGATGTTTACTGGCATTTACCTATAAAAATCTAATCCTTCCAAGCCTAATTACAACTACATCACTGCTGAGCCAAAAATGAGGGTTGAAGTTTTTAAAGTTTCACTTTTTCAGATTTTTGATCATGTGTCACAAGAGCAGTGTGATAGGTTGAGATCTTCTCTGGTCAAAGTGCTGAGCCTTTGATGATTTTCATAAGTACAGTAATTATTAATATATTGCAAAAGGTCTTTTCCTCTCCTCTCTCAAACATTTTTTTCTGAAACATACAGTTCAGTATCTGTAAACAATAATAAATCTCTAGTGTCTGTAGCTAATTGTGCATTACTTAGCACCTTGGGCCTTCAAGGACTCAAGGCTTCATTTCTTGTATATAAAAAACCAGTGCTGCAATCAGTGTGAGTCTTGAGTACACCAGGCAATGCATGACTGGGATTCACTCGAGACACTCATTAAATAGAGCTCTGAGTTTTTCATATGAAAAGATGTTTTAAGTACAATCATTTTTATGTTTCTGGGAGAGGTGGCAAGTGTGTATTTATGCATATTATTGGAACCAGAGATTACTCATGCCGTATGTTTCTGAGCTACACAAAAATATGCATTAACTTGAAGATAAAGGCTGATTCACAGGCTACTTTCAATATCTATTTCTTTCAAAATGAACTTCAAAGCTGCCTTTCTCTCTTCATTTTCTTCAGTCAAAATGTCTCTTTAATCAAGTGTATGCATTTGCTGAAGGAAAATAGTTCAATAAGGAAACTGATTTAAGCTTCCATGTGGTTACTATAAATTACAAAGGGGGAAACAGTGATATGAAATTCTCTGAAAAATCCTCTGGCAATGTCTTTTCATATACCATGGAAGTTGTTTTAGTTTCACATTTTTCACAGACAAACCAAATGCACAAAAGAATTGTAACAATTCTTCAGACTATTTCAAAAGGATGCCCCAAATGTTGCTAATAACTGATGTTCCTCACAGCATCTAGTGCTGCACATGCACCAGTTAGTAGTTCTACTACATTATTTTCTAACTCACAGTGTTAAACACCACCTTAAGTTAATCATTTTTTTTTCTTTATCCCAAGACAGGGATTGTTTCCACATATGACTCCATTTTTAAGAGGCCAATGGGTTACAATGAAAAACTCCACCGATGTGACAGAGAACATGCAAACAATCGAGGTCTTAACATTAACGATGAGGTAAGGTTTATATGCTGACATTAAAGTGGCTTCATTCATATTGACAACACTGGAGTTAGGTGCCTAGGCTCCAACACAATTAATGTGGAGAGAGAGATGTGACGGAGACCTTTTGACAATGTGGCCCACTGTTCTTTGCAAAGCACTCTTATCTCAGACCTGACAAACTCACTACACCAAACATGTGTCTTATAGGATATTTATCTATACAGAGTAACTTAGGATATCTACAGAAATCTTGTAACCTGTCAAGCTTCATAATCCTTTTGAAATATCTGACCAAGTAATATTTAAGGAATAATGTATTTATATTACAAGTATGCTTTATGGACTTGGAGTAAAGGTTTGTCATCGGGGTAGTGTGTCTCACTGATGACCCATTCAGGCAAGAGGGAGTTGTTACCCCTCCCTAGTCAGCTGGCCAGGTAATACCAGGTTTTTTTGGCTGCCCTTGCCATATCCCAGAACTCTCAATGGAAAACCATCAGAGACAAGCACAAATGATTGGAACCACTTGGAGGTGAAAAAGAACAATAGAGGAAGCAGGAGCTTGCCCTGGCTCTGAATAAAGACAAAAGATTGTTTCAGAATAACAGAGTGTAGGGAAGGGCACTCTGGATCCATTCACTGAGGAAACCCCTTAACGAGTGGGGGTCTTTCATGAACATTTAGATTTTGGTTCTTGTGAAATCAGCCAGATCTGCAATGGACTGAACTTAGTTATATAGTAGACGTAACTATTGAAAAGTGTAGACCCAGGTTAGTGTTTTATGCTTTCGTTTTGTGTTGTGTTGTAACCACTTGTTTTCACCATTTAGTTACATCTTTATTTTTTCTTAAATAAAACTACATTTTTTATTACAAGTGCTGTGTGGTTTAGAGGAACAGTGGTTTAATATGAAACCAGTGGAATTGGAATAATTTTTATAGTGGGGGGTGCTGAAAGCCACTGAACAAAACTGTAAGCCCTGTATATGATGGAAACCACTTCAAGCCAGGAGGTGCTGCTGCACCCCCACTACTCCTATTTCCAGCATCCCTGGTGAAACTGGTAAATTGGGGTACACTGCATCTTTGGGTACAGAGAATCTGGAATTTCTGTGAGTAGCCAGTACCAGGGGCAGGATAGCATAGGTGAACAATTCAAAGTGACTCAGGGGTTGGGGTGCACCTCTTGTTAACCTGCAAGGCAAAGACAGGGCTGGCATAGCCTAGACGAGAGTGCTTGAATGGCTTGATGGTGCTAGGGAGCTAACAGCCAGTTACCAGAAACAAGACTCCCTCACACCAGAGGCAGGAGATAACAGGTTGACTAACTGTCCTGGGTACCCTAAGAACTGTTATAATAGGCACCTTAGACTGTGATCCACAAAGCCAGCACACTAGGCAGGGAGCCACCTATGTGAGCCAATGGGCGACACCAACCAGAGAGGGGGCATGCTAAACCCTGCCCCTCTCTGACATAGGTGCCTAAGTCCAGGCTCCACAGGGGTGCCTTGCTTTGCTAGTAATCCATGAATAGGGGCAGATAGGCACTTGGCTCCCTAAATTGTTTGTGGGGCCTGAAACAACACAGCTGGGGGACAGAAGGGACTCATAACCTCTAGCCTAGCAGATAGGGCACTCACCTGGGATATGGGAAACCTCCACTTCAAGTCCCACCTCCACTTGAAGAGTAAGGATTTAAACATGGATCTGCTACCTCTCAGGTGAGTGCTCTAACCCCTGGGACATGCTGAGACAGGGTTTCCTCACTGTCTCCTGTGGAAATTGTTCCACTTTAATTAAACAACAGAATACTTAAATATGTATTGGGCCAGAGAATGTTAGAATGACTATAACCTAGTGGTTAGAGCACTCACCTGAGATGTGGCAGCTCACTGTTCAACTCCCTTCTCCCCTCAAGAGGGGGCAGAAGTGGGAGGGAAGAGAAAACTTGAACTGGGGTTTTCTGTATCCTGGCTGAGAACCCTAGGCTAAAGATTATAAGGGAGGTCCTTCTCCACTTTCACCCCCCCAGCAGTTTTGTTTGGGGCCCCACATGTGATTTAGGCAGCTGAACGCCTATCCTTCCTAGTTCGTGACTCAGCTGGTGCTTAGGTGGGAAAGAGGTGTTTGGACACCTATCTCAAGGAAGCAGTACGCATGCTCAGGCAGTAGAAAAGCACTCAGGCATCTAGAGTGAGACTGCAGGACATGTGCCCAGAGGCAACAGTTTAGATGCTGAATGAGTTTAGGCACCTACAGCCAAGCAGGAGTTTTGTGGGTCAATGGTGTCTGTAAATGGGACTTAGGCTCCCAAAGTATCCTAAACCAGATTCAGGGCAAGAGTAAAGTCACGCCCATCAGACTGGGTAGACAGGTGTGGATGGTGCAGTTCAGGTAGTAGCACAGGCTAGTCACCCAAGTGCAGACTCAAGGGGTCAGGCAGGCTTCTACTTGGGTAGCTACCCCGCGTTGCTGCCCATGCCGCAGCGTCCCCTGATAGTTTTAATGCACTAGCTCAAGCAGCGCTGGCATGTTTCCAGCTGCCTGAGCAGGGATGCACACTCCCAACTGCTGTATAGACATACCCAAAGACACACACACCCTATTTTCCTGAGCTAGCAGTCTCCCCTCTGTATATTTTCTGTATTCTCCGGGCACAGTAGAGTTTGTGGAGCAAAGCTAGGCTGAAACCATTTAGGATGTCCAAGTGGAGAGATCCTTGTAGGAGTTAATACTGCCTGGGAGGAGGGGTGCCCAGACACCAGCATGGGAGAGCAAATGCTCAGTTCAGAAGCTCTAAGATCTGTGAGAATTACCTCTGATTTCCCTGTGAATCATGGGATTCTGGGTGGGTCAGGGAACTCTCCCAGTGTCTCTTCTGTATCTGAGCAGCTTCTGCCTAACCTCAAAAGCAAAGTGCCTAGTAGCCTTCATGTAGGAGCTGGCTCACCTCTCTTTTTGGGGTCAAGACTCTGGTTGGGGGGTGTTTTGTATTTCCCCCAGATTAATTTCCTTTTATTTTGGTAGAGTTTAGGGGTACAAGTGGGGTGTCACTGTTGGAAATGTTATGATGTCAGCAAAGCATTTTTGAAGAGGAACGTTGTGCAGTGTTTCCTAGATATCAGGAAAGGTCAGACTCCCGCTTTGCCTGATCTCCTCTGGACATTCACTCCGTAGTTGGATTGACTCAACAGAGAATGCTTGATGCTGACCTTCATGATCTGCATTGTCCCAGCAGAGCACAGCTGCTTCAGTGGTACATAGACCAAAGTTTTAATGTAGCTAAGGCTTGATCCAAATTTATCAAGTATTTGTACACAGATTAGGAGCTGTCACCTTAACCCTGCTGTAGGTTCCATCTTTATGTATCACCCTCTATTATTACAGTAGCACCTACAGACCCCAGCTAGGATTAGGGGCCGACTGTGCCAGACCCCATACAAACATACAAGTTCTCATATATTTGAAGTTCCATCCACACTGTAACTACCGGAAGGAAGAAAGTTTTCTGTCTCTTTTGCCTCCAGAGCCTCCTGGTTGCTGTGATTCAGGAGGGTAATGCTGCACCAGTCTACATTTACAGCCAGTTCACATTTACAAGGTTAGCGTCATAACCATAAGATTGTTTTTTAAAACGAGACCTTTAATTGCACAGACATGAGTGGCTTAGTCCTCTACAATCACCAGGGAAAGCCTCCTGCTTACCACGGGTGAGTCAGTGAACTGATTTTTTCACGCTCAGATTTCATTAACTTATTTTTTGCAGTAAGTTAAGTGGGCAGAATACATGAAGGTGTAGAGAGATAGCAGAGCACAAAAACTGGCCGGGAGCATTACAGGCATCACAGTCACAAGTGCATTGTACAGGTCATCCCAACTGTGTGCTAATAAAACCTCGCTACTGCCCCCAAAAAACATACTAAATTAATTTCTTATGTGGTCTGCAACTAATGACATGGAAATTATCTCCACATGTTTACGGTGTGGATATACATATGGGTATGTACATGTAATCAGTATATAGTCATTCAGAGCATATCTCCATCTCAGTGATGCATTTATATTTTATCACTATTGTTAAAGTTCAGTCAGGAATTTTGGACAATAGACTAATGACTGTAATTGTCTGTCGGATAAACAAATGTGCCTTGCTCTAACACATATTATACAGTTCTGTCTAGGCTGAAGGCCCACTTGTCATCAGCTGCTACACCAGATCTAGCAATCTATATTTGTCACAGCAGTGGCTCCTCTACTGTTTTGAATGTGTGTTTATATGTTAAGGAATATAAAATCTAAATAATGTTCTTACAGGAACTGGCGAGACCCATTGCTGTTTTGTCCTCTTCAGAATATGGGAGACACATAAACCAGCCTGTAGAGCAGTCGATCAGAAATTATGCAAGAATTAACCATGTGCAGGCTGAGTTCTACAGGAAAAATGGAGTCACCTGCTTGTTGGAAAAACCTTCTCAAAGTCTTGAAGCATCATAAAGCTCCTGTCCCCCCAGCCACTGACATGAACATAGTGTAACACAGTTTTCACAGCAATAAGAAAATGAAGACTGTTTTGCCTTTTCCTGTAATACTTTCCTTCAGCTGGTCAGTGTGGCTTGGATAAAAAGAAAAAAAAATTAAGACATAAGAGCTGTCAGTTTCCCCATGTTAGTGTAAATGTACCTTTACATTTCATTAAAATCTTGCAAATAATTTCTCTACTAATTTTCAATGTATTACGATAGGATAGAGCAAGTTTCTTCTTCAAAGCATTTACAAACATCAGTTTACAATCCACACAACCATTCCTATTAGATTTGTAAGCAGTATTATCCTGATGGAAAAACTGAGGCAGAAAGAGGTTAAGGCCAAGATTTTCCAAAACAGGTGCCTAAATCTGTAATCCAGAAAAATATATAAACAATTTTCAGATCAACCTGAAAACAAAATTTGTTGAGATTTTTGGCAAACGGGAAATTAAAAAAAAATACATCATTTGAGGGTCAAACTAAACCTTAAATTCAATTCAAAATGAAGTGTTTTGTTTTGGTTTCAAGTATTTAACTTTGTACAATAGTATTGAAGGAAGATTTTGATAGGACATAGATATTCAGGCTTGTCTGTAAAGGCCTATAACCTAAGAATTTAGGTGTATTCTTATGACTTAGCTAGTTATAGAGGTATAAAAGAAAGAATCAAAATCACTGTCTGCCGGTGTAAGGTCCTTCTCTTAGGGTATGCCTACACTACGAAATTAGGTCGAATTTATAGAAGTCGGTTTTTTAGAAATCGGTTTTATATATTCGTGTGTGTGTGTCCCCACAGAAAATGCTCTAAGTGCATTAACTCGGCAGAGTGCTTCCACAGTACCTAGGCTAGAATCAACTTCCGGAGCGTTGCACTGTGGGTAGCTATCCCACAGGTCCCGCAGTCTCCACTGCCCATTGGAATTCTGGGTTGAGATCCCAATGCCTGATGGGGCTAAAACATTGTCGCGCGTAGTTCTGGGTACATATCGTCAGGCCCCTGTTCCCTCCCTCCCTCTGTGAAAGCAAGGGCAGACAATCGTTTTGCGCCTTTTTTCCTGAGTTACCTGTGCAGACGCCATACCACGGCAAGCATGGAGCCCGCTCAGGCAACTGTCACCGTATGTCTCATGGGTGCTGGCAGACGTGGTACTGCATGGCTACACAGCAGCATCAACCCAATGCCTTGTGGCAGCAGACGGTACAGTACGACTGGTAGCCGTCATCGTCATGTCCGAGGTGCTCCTGGCCACGTCAGCCACGAGCTCCTGGGCAGATGTGGGCGCAGGGACTAAATTTGGAGTGACTTGACCAGGTCATTCTCTTTAGTCCTGCAGTCAGTCCCATTGAACCATCTTATGGTGAGCAGGCAGGCGATATGGATTGCTAGCAGTCCTACTGTACCATCTTCTGCCAGGCAGGCAAGAGATGAGGATGGCTAGCAGTCTTACTGCACCGTCTGCTGCCAGCCAAAGATGTAAAAGATAGATGGAGTGGATCAAAACAAGAAATAGACCAGATTTGTTTTGTACTCATTTGCTTCCTCCCCTCCCCCGTCTAGGGGACTCATTCCTCTAGGTCACACTGCAGTCACTCACAGAGAAGGTGCAACGAGGTAAATCTAGCTATGTATCAATCAGAGGCCAGACCAACCTGCTTGTTCCAATAAGAGCAATTACTTAGGTGCACCATTTCTTATTGGAACCGTCCGTGAAGTCCTGCCTGAAATACTCATTGATGTAAAGCCACCCCCTTTGTTGATTTTAATTCCCTGTAAGCCAACCCTGTGAGCCATGTCGTCAGTCGCCCCTCCCTCCGTCAGAGCAATGGCAGACAATCGTTCCGTGCCTTTTTTCTGTGCGGACGCCATATGAAGGCAAGCATGGAGGCCGCTCAGCTCACTTTGGCAATTAGGAGCACATTAAACACCACACGCATTATCCAGCAGTATATGCAGCACCAGAACCTGGCAGAGCGATACCGAGCGAGGAGGCGACGTCAGCGCAGTCACATGACCATATATAATAATGATAATGCGTGTGGTGTTTAATGTGCTCCTAATTGCCAAAGTGAGCTGAGCGGCCTCCATGCTTGCCTTCGTATGGCGTCCGCACAGAAAAAAGGCGCGGAACGATTGTCTGCCATTGCAAGAATAAATGGACACAAATCAGATGTCAAGAATTATAACATTCATAAACCAGTCGGAGAACACTTCAATCTCTCTGGTCACGCAATCACAGACATGAAGGTCGCTATCTTAAAACAAAAAAACTTCAAATCCAGACTCCAGCGAGAAACTGCTGAATTGGAATTCATTTGCAAATTGGATACTATTAATTTAGGCTTAAATAGAGACTGGGAGTGGCTAAGTCATTATGCAAGGTAGCCTATTTCCTCTTGTTTTTTCCTACCCCCCCCCCCCGATGTTCTGGTTTAACTTAGATTTAAACTTGGAGAGTGGTCAGTTTGGATGAGCTATTACCAGCAGGAGAGTGAGTTTGTGTGTGTATGGGGGTGGGGGGGATGTGAGAAAACCTGGATTTGTGCAGGAAATAGCCCAACTTGATTATCATGCACATTGTGTAAAGAGTTGTCACTTTGGATGGGCTATCACCAGCAGGAGAGTGAATTTGTGGGGGGGGGTGGAGGGTGAGAAAACCTGGATTTGTGCTGGAAATGGCCCAACCTGATGATCACTTTAGATAAGCTATTACCAGCAGGACAGTGGGGTGGGAGGAGGTATTGTTTCATATTCTCTGTGTATATATAAAGTCTGCTGCAGTTTCCATGGTATGCATCTGATGAAGTGAGCTGTAGCTCACGACAGCTCATGCTCAAATAAATTGGTTAGTCTCTAAGGTGCCACAAGTACTCCTTTTCTTTTTTCAGGAAAAAAGGCGCAAAATGATTGTCTGCCCTTGCTTTCACGGAGGGAGGGAGGGAACGGGGGCCTGACGATATGTACCCAGAACCACCCGCGACAATGTTTTAGCCCCATCAGGCATTGGGATCTCAACCAAGAATTCCAATGGGCAGTGGAGACTGCGGGACCTGTGGAATAGATACCCACAGTGAAACGCTCCGGAAGTCGACTCTAGCCTCGGTACGTTGGAAGCACTCCGCCGAGTTAATGCACTTAATGCACTTAGAGCATTTTCTGTGGGGACACACACACTCGAATATATAAAACCAATTTCTAAAAAACCGACTTCTGTAAATTCGACCTAATTTCGTAGTGTAGACATACCCTTACTGTGACAGTCTGAGGCCCTGTGCTTAGGCTAAGATCTTTGGCTAAGCAGCAGAGGCAGCCATTCCAAACTAGTCACATTGAAAGAAGGTGCTATTGGGCTGTTAGGAATACAATTCTGTCCTGATAATGCCTATCCCTCCAGAGGAAGGGAAGTGCCTAGAAGATGTAAAAGGAAACTTAGTTTGATAGCATCCTGTCTGGCAAGAACTCACTTATCAATATTGGGATATGAAATTCTCATTTCTGTGTTTGTTCTATCACTGTAGTCCCCATTTCCCTATTGTTTGTCTGTATAATCTCTGTCTGGTTCTGTGATTGTTTCTGTCTGCTGTATAATTAATTTTGCTGGGTGTAAACTAATTAAGGTGGAGGGATATAATTGGTTAAATAATCATGTTACAATATGTTAGGATTGGTTAGTTAAATTTCAGGAAAATGATTGGTTAAGGTATAGCTAAGCAGAACTCAAGTTTTACTATATAGTCTGCAGTCAATCAGGAAGAGTGCGTGTGGGGGAGTGGGAACAGGGAATGGGGAAATTGGAATCATGCCCTGCTAAGGGCAGGAATGGGAACAGGGACACAGGTGTAAGGCTCTGTGGTGTCAGAGCTGGGAAGGGGGACACTAAGGAAGGAAACTGGAATCATGCTTGCTGGAAGTTCACCCCAATAAATATCGAATTGTTTGCACCTTTGGACTTCGGGTATTGTTGTTCTCTGTTCATGCGAGAAGGACCAGGGAAGTAAGTGGGTGAAGGAATAAGCCCCCTAACATCATGGTGCCGGTGACTTGGATACTTTGCATCTGATAGGTGAGTGGCAGCCTGTAAGTCCCCCTCCTGAACAGTCCACGTAGCTGCTTGGAGGGGGTACAGCAAACTCTCGTGATGGTAGTTGTGGGTTCTGGCAAGCCAGGGTAAAGGATTTTTTGGATAAATGGGTAAGGAAGAACCAGGGCCCATACCAGGTGCAAGGGTCAACCTGGGATGAGATTAAAAAGGAAATGGAGGAAGTGTTAGGGGATCCAGAGGGATGGGGGGTGGTCCCTGTTTCCATCCCCCCCCACTCCTTGGTATATGGGTAGAGGAGGAAGGTCTCTGCCCATGGGGACTGAATGCCTTCCAGGGAAAGGAGGCACTTCAGTCTGCTTGTGAGAGGTTTGAAGTAAGGGCAGCATTATGGGAAGCTGCCAGTAATCTTTCAAGTTTTGTGCTGCTTCAGCAAGGGCTGCTGAAGGGTTGTAAATTAGTTAGGGGTAGTGAAAGATGATTTGGCACTACAGGGTTTAAAGTCAAAAGCAGAGTTAACAGACTACCTTTAGAGACTGGGGCTGGGACTTGGTCCTGGGGGAGAAAGAAGGGGGGAAGTTTCAAAGTGCAAAATGGCAGGTTTGCAGAAGCAGGAAACAACCCCCACTCTTCTCCCAGAGCCAGAATGAGAACCTGGGGATAAGGGTTCCTTACTGTTTCAACCCAGGGAGCCTACTCTTGGCTCAGAGCCAACTATATCCTTTTCTTCTTTTTCTTGGTTTACTTAATTTGCTGCTGGTAGCCTATACTTTAATCTGACCTGACAGGCTTTATTGGTTTCTTTCCACCTCTCCCCCAGCCTTTCCACACTTTTGTTTTTCTGAAGTTTTAATGGAGGGTACTTTGGATACTTATATGAAATGTTTTTGGTTTTTTTGGACAAAGTATGAGGGAGGTCTGCTGTATTCCACTGGAATTTTTGGAGTAAAAGATCCATGGGCATCCATGGAGACAAATGTTTTACTGCCTCTTTGAACAGTCTCAAGATAAAGACAGCACAGGTTAAGGCAGCTGTGTGGCAATAATTGTACTTGGTGGCTAAGTTGTTACAGACAAATTGCACTACCTTAAAGAACTGAATGTAGGAGCAAGTGAGTGAAAAGTCACAAATAGCTTTTGCAAAAAT